GCATGTTGCTGGGCTCTGGGCTACCTGGAGCTCTGGACACTCAGGTCTTTGTGCCACCATCGCCACCTACTGGTTGGTTTCACTCTACCTGACCCAGCCTCTTGACTTCGGGGTGTCACTTGTCTTGGTCTCTCCTTCCTTTAGCCATTTGCTAAATATGGAATATGTGCTGTATTTGAAAATACATTTTTGGGAGATGAAGAAAATGATGAGAAAATTAGTCTGATATTTTCCCATGAACGTCACTGTTTGGAATTTGTACAAAATCATATTGGGTTCCAATTTGCTGAGAGATTATTGTTGTTTTAAATGAATCGCTTGGAATCTTTAGGGTCACTGCTATGCAGCTGTGAGACTTGGCAAAATATGACAGAATGACATTTCTGCCCTTATTCAGTGCACTCTGCCAAAATTTCTCTTCTGAGGGTTGGTATATGAGGCTTGTGGTCACAAAGGCTCACTGAGCAGTTTTCAGGTGTTTTGAGTGCCAAATCCTGTCACTGTCTTGATCTAAGACTGAACTTTTAGGTTCCCCTCAAGGACAGGAAGGTGAGGAATTTGTCATGTGAATCCATTGCTATTTAGGAGAGATGGTTGTCCTAAGTGATTCTTCTGCCTGTCTGGGAACTCGGGGTGCAGGAGACTGTTTTGGATCCAAGTGCCTACTCCCTTTCAGACAGAGTCAGGGCTGGGGTATGCCAGCCTGTGATCTTGAGCTGTAGTTTCTCAGATACTTGGCAGACGCTACCAGGATCTCTTTGGAACAGCCTGAGAAATAGACTCCCTTTAAGGAGGCCTTGGAATACTTTGAGCTTTCTATGAATTGTCACACCTATTTGGAAGTTTAAGTCTTTAGCATTTACTGGGTATAGTATACCTCTAAACTATCTGTATTGCAGTGTAATGGCTATTTTTTCATATTAGTGCATATAGGTATGATTGGAGTTTTAATATTCAGGTAAACACAGAAGTTAGCAAATCTCTAATATCTCATAGAATTAGGTTTTGAATTTTATGTTTGATGTAGAAATGTGCATATATTCTGCCAAAAATATATGTTGAAGAGTCTCAGCTGCACTGAATTTGTTTTACTAGTCTAGTTGTGGAAATGTTCAGTGTGAGTAATGATTTACTTCTGGAAAGCAACAAACACAACACCTATATCAGTCATAGAGGTTGGCCTAGAATAGAATAAATCTTTGGAGGGGGTAGAAACGCAGACTGGAATCTGTGTACGGATGGAATCTGTGACTTATCCTTTGGGATTAGTTTAATAATGGCTTCTATTTTTTGATTAGCAGAAATTAAATGCAGAATTCTCAGTTGGAGTTTTTAGGCATGCTGTATTTGTCTAAAATCAAATTCTCTGTTACTGTTCAACAGCTTAAACTCTTTCAGGGAGTTCCTCTACTAACACATGGCATTAAAAGCTCTATCTGATTTCTTGCTATACTCCTAGACTCTAAATACAGCTGCTAGAATTTCATTTTGCCCATAGATAGTGTGGTGAACTATTTTATCCTTTCCAAATGCACTCCCTGCCCTATCTCCAGTACTGGGGTTGAACCCAGGGTCTTTACCCTGAGCCACATCCCCAGCACCTTTTTTATTTATTTTGAGACAGGGTCTCACTAAGTCACTAGATTGCCTAGGCTGGTCTTGAAGTTGTAATCCTCCTGCTTCAGCCTTCCAGAATGCTCGTATTACATGATGTGGCACCCCATCTGGGTCAAGAAAGTTCTTATGTTTGTAGCATGGATGAATCATAAAACTATTGGGTGTTACTGAAGAGAAGGTCAATGGGTCATTCAGCTGAACTCATACTTTGGAAGAAACCAAATAGAGATTTTTTCCATATTTACAATATGACTAATTTTATTTTTGTCATCTATTTCAAATTATTAGGGAGCTGTTCTAAAATGATTATTACAAATCTCTCTCTCTCTCTCTCTCTCTCTCTCTCTCTCTCTCTCTCTCTCTCTCTCTCTCTCTCTCTCTCTCTCCTGGTTCAGACACTTTTATTCTCCATTATCCTACAGGAAATCAATGATAGTTCTCACTGTAGGTGAGGTACAGAAATTCAAGACTGAGCCTGCATCCAAGTGGTCCTCTCAGAGGCCTCTCGCCTCTTGGCATATTAAACAGAAGCTTTCCACCCAGAAGGCCAGAGCAGCCCTTTCTCCATGGCTGAACAATCTGTTTGCTGGCAGCTTCTCTTCACTTAGATGGTAGTTCTTCCCAGGGTTTTTGCCACATTCATGCCCATGGGAGAAATGGTAGTACAACTTCTTTAAATCTTCGGTTTTGCTATATTTATGCTTTTTTTCATTTTAATGAGAAAAAATAGCAATGAAACAGTTTCAAAACAGGTTAGTAGGACAGTAACAATAATTAATACATTGCATACTGTTGTCTTTGTAGTAGTTATTCAGAGGACAAGATGTAGACATGATGTCGTGTCTAAACAATATTAGTACAAAGCTAAGAAATAGAGTTTTGTATACACAGTTACCCAGGCCTCTGAATAAAATATATAGTAGTCTTGGTAACATAGTTTAGTTAATAATAGCTTCTGTTTATTAAGTATGCTTGAACTTACTTTATACAAAGTATTTATACATACACTTTGATCAATTCTTATGCTGTTCATTTTAAAAGACAAGGAATCAAGGGTCAGGGATGTGGATACTTGTCTAAGATACCAAGTCAGTTTTATTCCTCCTTCATTGAGCCTTCACTGGTTTTCTTTCATTGACTTGATAACTTGAATTTTTTTTCCTTATGGGTCAGTGACTTGGCTGTTAGTGTGAATGTGACCAGAACATGTTTATTTCTAGAAGAGCTGTTACATGTAATAATGGTGTCCTTCAAGGTGCTCTCACTTCCAGACTTGTGCACTCCATCTTTACCTTGGCTCTGGATTACCTGGTGAGCATACACCCCTGCCCACCACCACCCATGGGGTCACACCTGGCCGCAGTGGATGCAGATGCCAGCTGAGGAGCTCCCCTGTTGTGTTACTTTAAGTAATGTTTATTAAGCAAGTCCAAGGGGTCTGAAGGATGTGAAGATAAGCTAGATGTGGTCTTTGCAATAAAGACATTCATATATATATATGAGACATCACAGATTTTGAGATCAGGATATATATATATATATATATATATATATATGATTTAAGTCTTAAATTTAAGATTTATACATATTGCTGAAATAAAGTTGATAAGTCAATGACTATGTGGGAAAAAAACAGAAAATTCTGTTGTCAGAGGTAAGAGAAATTGAATTATAGTGACACATTAGGGATGGCTTTGTGGAAGATCTGCCATTTACCTTGCTAAGGTATGACTGAAGAGTTTGACTCTATGGAGAGCTGGGATGGAGCAGGAAGAGGCCAGGGTGCCTGCTGAAGGATCCGTGTTAGCTCAGGTATCTGGCAGAGGAAGGCCAAGACAGACAGCATTCTGGGACCACTGATGGATAATAACTTTAGTAGTCAGAGCACAGGTGCTGAGATGGAGGGTCCCTTTAGAGCTGTGTTGTCCCCTGGGATGGCATGGGCCTGAAGGTTGCCAGAGGAAACAACAATGAGCAGGGTTATTGAGATAGTTGTGGCCAGTTGCCATGTGGAAAGTCACTGGGAGTGGCCAAAACCTAGGACCTGTGCCACTCGGCTATGAGTGCACAGAACACACAGAGCTGCCCTGGCTGCTTCCTTCCCTTGTTCCTGAGTCTCCTTTCCCCAGAATCTGGTGTTCTGCTCCTGCTGCCCAGTCCTCAGCCCCAGGGCTGTACAAAAGGCTCAGGGTGTGGGCTTCCAGGCCCTGCCCCAGGCCTAGCTATGAAGGGCAAGCCAGAAAAAAGAACAAGGGAAGTGTTTGCTCCTGCATTTCCAGCGGCACCCCCCCTGCTCTTCTGTCTCTATCTTCCTAGCAGGAGACAGACACTGGCCCATTTTAAACCATATTGTTAGAAATAGACTTCCAAGGAACTGAATCTTTAGAGAAGCTAGAAAAAATGCTAGTCTGTCATCCTGTCTTAGGATTTCACTTACCAGAGTGCTGCAGTGGCCACTCCTTGTCTGTTTTCCATCTTTTCAAATCTGCCGCATTGTGCCACTGACCTTCAGAGGGCTCTTCTGTTGAATGGGCGTTTTGGAGCTATCAGTGATTTAGGCCAAGAAACAACTCCTTTTATGGAAGCATAGAGCCTCCTTTGACTACTGATTAACTAGAATGAAACTGCTGCAGACTCAGTAGACAGTCCGGACTTCCCAGAGGTATGCACAGTGTCTTTTGAGACTGGCGTCCTAGGCAGGCAACACCGTACAGCCAGTAGGGTAGGCTGGCCGTGAAGGAGTCACCGACTCACCACATGCAAGGTTTGCCATTCTCCACTGGGCTAAGGCTGCAGTATTTTCACTTAGGAGAGCCGTGTGGATGGTGCCTAAGGAGGTTTGGGTAATTTGTCATCTATTCCTTACCATTTGATAACTTTGAGTCTTAGGTGGATAATGATGTTTATGCGACAGTTCTTAGTTGACTATTTTTTCAATTTTTATTCTCTTTATTTTCACATTAAGTTTCAAAAGCTGTTGCAAGCTCTCGTGCGTGGCTTGTGTGTTTTGGGGGCCAATTTGTATGCTGAGGTGAGGAGGAGGAAGGCCCTCGGGCTGGTACTCACGTGCTCCAGCTTCACTGTGAGCTGGCCAGTAAGACTTGGTGGCAAGAAGTATCCTTTGTAACCCTAACTCCCGGGATGCATAGCAGTGACTGAGTCCATCCAGAGGGTTGCTCTGCTCTAGATCCAGGCAGCATAGAAGAAAGCAGCCTCTGCCTCTTTCTGGGACCCCAGTCACTTTGTAAGCACTGGGAAAGAGCCCTCCATGGCCTCCCCAACATGGACCCAAAAACAGCACCTCCCAGTAACGCACCCTCTGCACCTGTGTGAGGTCTTGGTGGAGCAGACTTCGGTGACCGTCTTACCTTTCTCCTCTCCAGACAGCCTGCCTGAGAACAGTGACCCAAAGGATTCACCCCTCATTCCAGGACACACCATGGCCGAGCCGGACTATGTGGATGCCGACAATCCCGAGCTGATCAGGCCCCAGAAGCTGGTCAACCCTGTTAAGACATCCCGGAATCATCAAGATCTCCACAGAGAGCTGCTGATGAATCAAAAGAGGTAAAATGCTTTCTCAAGCATACTTTTTCCTTTTGGGATTTTCAAGATAGCTACAGTTAGTTTTAGTTGTGTTTACTGTACTTTAAACATTATTTTGCTGTTTGAGTGTAGTTAGGGCTTCCTCCTGCAGCCTTGTCCCTCCAGCAGCTGCAGCTGCCACCCTGCCAGCACTGTTTCTCTGTCCCCTGTGAAATGGTAGAATAATTTATTTTTCTTTTCTTTTTTTGAAGCAGATACTTTATTAACTGACCAAATCATAAAAACACCACGGTATATACCTTAATTAATCCTTTTAATAAGGCTGTTGATCTGATCTTCCCTATTTCCAGCATTTCCACCTTTGACAAAATGGGTGGTCTTTTTCTTCATTCCATCTTGTGGAGATCATAACTTGAACAGCCACAGGAAGTTATTTGTCCCTTTGAAGCATTTTCCAACAGTATAGATCTCATGAATAAGATCCTCCATGCAGATGATGCCGTATTTACCAAGAGATCGAGCAATCAATGAATTATCTGTCAAGGCAATTTACTTCTTACTGATTTTGCCATAGGCATGCTTGTATATTTGTCCATTTACTGACTTCAGGTTTGGGTACCCCCATGCAATATATGGCTCCACAATTCTCAGCATGTTAATTGAAGCCTTGTTAAGTTTAATGAAGGTACCGTTGAAGATATGGCGAAGGTGAAAAAGCTGCAACACCTTGCAGACATTTGAGCTCATACCATTGATACCCCTGATCTGGATGACAAATGCCAGTTTGGGCTCTGCAGGGACATAGAAGTTGCCAGCTTTTCTCGCCATCCTAGCCATTCGGATCTCAGCTTTGTACATCTGTCTGTCTGTACTCCTTATGAAAGTGCCTAGCTTTTTCATAGGTGAGCTTCCACCTCGCCTTGCAAAGCATCTTCTGGGCAAACTTCTTTCACAGGGGCTTTGTCTTCAACTCTGCAAAATGTCTTCACTTTTTCTTAAGGGTTTCTGGTATAGTAAGCACTTTCTTTTTCTTCTCTTCTACACCCTCCATGGTTCCAGCTGGAAAAGAGCGAAGAGTTCCTTTCTTAAATCCAGTATCTTTGAATATCCTTGTAATGTGTGGGGAGATAACAGGCTTGAATGTAAGACCTGCTTGTGTTCGCATTTGTAAGGGGCAGGACAGTCACTAGAACCTTTTCAGACATAATGGATAATGCTCTTATTTTCTGTTGGTTTGTTTTAAAGTAGTAACTTAAGTTTAATATTATCTTGTATTTATTAAATATTTAGAGGACAATAAAACATCTAGCCTATCTTCTCTGTAAGCCATGGTTATTCCCTCTGTGCCATTTGGGGGGCCTAGAGTGTGAGGGTGTATGGGGGAGTGCTGATTTGAACTCTTAAGTGCCATTTTAGTTCAAGCTGCCCTTTTTTCATGAAATATATGGAAAGACTCTAAGTCACAGTAAAGGCTAAAATCAAACCAAATTTTGTAGAATGTGTGTTTTTTGAGTTACAGGCTATAAATTCTTCTGTAAAAATATAATTAATAGTATGGATATCACTGCAGAACATACAGATTTGTGTGATTGAGTCTGTTCCCACATTTTCTAGCAGAATGCCTTTCTTTCTCCTGTCTGTCTTTGTTTGTCCCATTCTTTCTTTCCCTTGTTTACTTAGTGAACACTTTGGTCAGGACCATCTCTACGAATCTGGGAAAACACAGACTCTCCCTTAAGTACCATGGTGTAGAAAGCATATGGCAGCACTGGCACCCTATGGCATCCATGCTGTGTTGGACACACAGAACCCTTTCTGTCATCGTGGGACCATGCTGCCCCAGCCACAGAGTGGCTGATATTCAGGTGTAATGGCAGTGTTCTCACTTTGTGATAAAGAAGTAGGTTTGGGATTGCAGTTGGGACACTCAGTCTCTAAAAAGTTCACATCACTGTGATATGGCCTTTGAGATTATAGAAAAGGTACAAATCTTGCTGCTCACTTAACTTGACCTGCCTTCTGATCTTGACTAACGCATCCTTCTTGAGATCTATTTCTCCATCTATAAAGTGTGAGGAAATCAAATGATTCTCATAAAATTGATAGCATGAATCAAAACACCTATGAAACTGCCCGCATGGGAGGATCTAAAAGGCCCCTTTGTCTTCTGCTTCCCATGTGCATAACTGGGAAGTCTCTATTACTTTACCCCCTTTCCTTGAAAGATTCTAGTCTATCTGGGAGTATGTTTTGGAAGGAATAACAAAAAGGCAAATTTCAAAGTCTCATTCTACATTGAAGGCATAAACAGGTTTTTCAAGGCAAAATCTTAGTTTAGTAGATGCTTTGTTAGAAATGTAACTGGTTTAGAGTGAAAGCTTCTAAAGTAATTTCTTTTGTCTTCATATCTCATGTACTGTACTTTTTAGACACTGTCAGATTTTTATTTCTAAACTTTAGTACCAAATAAATTATATCACACAATACTATGCATGTTTGGTTCAGTATAATCAGTCTTCAGTACTGGTTTGTAGGGTAATGAAAGTCTTCTCTTATTATTTATAAGGGGCCCATACATGTTTTATCTTACCCAGTAATACAGTGTGTTTCTTAGGATTATTCCACCTTGGAATGTGAGTTAGGAGAAACTCAGAATAAACTGAGGAATTTTCTTGAAATCATCTAACAGTTTTTTTGGACTAAAAAGGGATGGAAATAAACACAGGATAAAAGCAGTTTATAGAGGTAAATAGAGTAGCAATACAAATCAGAAAATGGAATGAGGAAGTGAGGGGGAGGAAGAATGAGACCCTTCACAGCAAGCTCCCATGGAGACCTGACCTTTGCTCCACAGAGCTGCACATTTGGCTCAAGTTGTACAGCAGTTAGTTCATTGTTTTTCAAGTTACTCTTTGGAGACTTTGAGATAAAAGCGGTCCCTGCTTAGGAGGACAGATATTCATAGATCTTCTGACTCTGATCCCAGGCTCTTGCAGGCGGAAATACTTGCTCCTCTGTTAACTATATTTTGGACCTGGCTAAGTTTCATGTTAGAAATCTTTGGACGTCTGCTTGATTTCAGTTAGCCACTAGCTCTGAGTGTTAAGGTTTGTTGTCTGGTTCTCATCTTTCATGAGCTTTTTTAGCAGCATGAAAAGACTAATTTTAAAAAGCATTTGGAAGAATTAAGTTTTAGTGGTTGAAATCAGTACTGAAAAGCTGTCTAAGAAAATAATATTTTCAACATAGCAAGAGTCTATCCTTTATAAAGAGTAATTTTTAAGTAAGTAAGCCATTTACTTGAACACATCCATAAAAATTGGTCTTTGGCTTGTGTACATTTCTAAGTCACTGTTCTCTAGTTCCCTGCATTTTTAGTTGACCTTTTTGAAGTGTCTTAGTTTTAAAAGACTAAGAATAGGGTTTTTTTTGGTCTTATTTTTACTATTTTCTTTTTTGGTACCAGGAATTGAACTCAGGGCCTCGCGCTTGCTAGACAGGCGCTGCGCCACCGAGCCACATCCCTGGCCTGATGAATAGTTTTTTAAAGATATTGTGTTACCAGACAATAGAGAAAGATGGGGGGGGGAGTTTTAGTGATACTGGATAAAAGTATTTATGTTTGAATTGTGCAAGTAAAAATGGCTAAGCCAAAAATGTAGCTTATGCAAGTCAAACCAAAAGATTCCAGAATTAAAGACAAAGGCCTGAAATCCAACTGCGTCTGTCCTCTCTGTCCTGCCCCCCTAAGAATCAGGGAAGGGGGGTTGGCTGGGTGGGCAGGTGAGCATGTTCTGTGATGGTCTGAGCCCTTGACCCTCCTTGGCCACTGCTATCTCAGGTGAGGAGGCAGCTTCATACACAGGGCAGTAAGTGTAGTTGGTGTCAGGTGGAGGTGGGAGGTGGGAGGAAGGTGGACGTTTCTAGGAGCCCCTCCACTCTCAGTGATTTGTATATCAGGAGAAACAGTCCTTTCAAGATTGCACATTTCACACACTGGTGGTAGGGATTGAAATTACTTCCATCTTTTGGAGAGCTCTTTGGAAGGACTCATCAAAATACAGTGTGCACAGGTGTTCCGCCAGCAACCCGGCTTCTGCGGATCTAGCCAGCAGAAATTCTTGTGCAAGAGCAAGATGTAAATGTACACAGAGGCTTGCTGCCTTCTTGTTTTTAATAGTGAATGATTAGAAGCAAAGGCCTTTCAATAGGGAAGGAGAAAAATTACAGGATTTCTGCCCTCTGAGGTGTTTTGCAGATGTGAAGGAGAGGAGCGTGGACTAGACCTCATTATCGCAGGGTGCAGACCCTCTCCGGGGACCACCACCGTGCAGAATGCGGTGTGCATGGTGCTTTCATCATTCGCATTTTTTAATTTTACAAATATGGATAACTATCTGATTTTATTTTTATCACAAAGAGTATCTATTCCATAATGTTTAAGATTGACTTGGCCCACTTCTGTAGCCACAGGTGGCTCCCTGACTACTAAGCAGGCTTGGGAATTTCCTAGTCTTGGGAAGCAGGAAGCCAGCTACCAGGACTTGATCACCTGTTAGGTACTTGTTAATGTGTATGTTAGAATCCACTAGAGAGAATCCATTGCTCAAGGCAAGGGATCATATGTAGTTATTTGAGTAACCCAGAGAAGCTCATTGCTGTCTGCCAGCACTGTCTCTAAGTATGACGCGCTGTGGACACGTACTGTCCGTGCTTAACTTCCCCAGTGCAGCAGAGACTTAACCAATCACTTATGATAAAATAATAACTTAACATATATGATTTCTTCACTGCCACAAGCACAGAATATTCTTCATAGAAGCACCATTTTCTGGAGTTTTATATTCCTAAATATTTTATCTTACTGTTGCTATTATGTGAAATTTTTGAGCAGAAAATGAATACCATGTACTAGTGTTAAGCCCATTCATTCACTGCAATGGATTATCAGCTTAGTGTGTCATAAATAAAAAGTATGTGACTTTTGCATTATCCAGGAGAATTTAATAGTAGTTGAAGTT